TTACCTTACAAATTAATACCAATGACCATTAAGTCAAAAGATAGAAGGCGTATCGACAAAGTGTGAGATCAATAAAAGATATTTATGAATCAAGAAATTAAAAAAAATTACAAAAATAACCATTATTTTTCATCATCTTATTATTTAATTATTAAAAAAATATTATCATATAATGTATAATATATTCCGGTAGAATACGAAAATATCCTGACAGAAAAAAATATTCTAAAAGAATATGAAAGATATCTTATCAGAATATTAATAACATGAATGATAAATTTAAAATAAATGATAGAAATAAAATAGTGTTAGTTTTTTATGACATCCTTAAAAATGTTCATAAATTAACTTATCATCTGTCATTAAGGATATTAATTATTTCTCTTCATTTTCAGACTTCAATAACCTATACATAAATGCTACTACACATATAAGTTGGAAATCCTTGTAAGGTCCTTGAAGCAAGATACTAATGCCTCTTGTCTTTGAATGTTTTTTTTTCCTTCCCAATTTTATTAACTTGTTTGGTAGAGGAGTTTGAATTTCAGTTCAAGATTATGTTATAATATTTTCTCTTACAAAAATTAAAATTTAAAAAGTTCTACTGTAGTGTTGTTTTCTCTTAAAATTTTTTTAAAATTTAAAATTCTGTTTCAAATCAATTTAAACTTATGAATCAAACAACCCTGTTTCAATGGTTTTATTGATTTTGGGACATCCAATTATCATATTTGAAGTACAGATCATGTACAGTTCAATTTGAAGTCCAAAGACGACGATGGGCATCCCCACCACTAAAAAAAAGCTTGACTTTTTGATTGATCATATTGATTGGTAGAATGTTGTTTTGACAAAATCAAAAGAGACCACGCTTACTTTTTCATAGAGGAATATTTTTAGTTGGTCTTAAAGGGATGTTCTCGCATTAAAAAAAAGATTTGTTCTGATGTTCTATCTTTTTTAAAAATAACAGTGTTATCTATTTATCAACCGTTAAATCTGATTAAAAGTTAATTAAAAAAATAATACAAATCTAATAATTGATAAATAAAAAATATTGGTATTAAAAAAAAAGAATACCAAAAAAATTTCCTAAATAAAAAAAGAAAGATGTTCTTCAAGAAGGCATAAACCATCATAATTAAATTAGATATTTGACCATGAAAAGAAAATAACAACACTAGAAAAAGAAAATGGGAAAAACAAACAAACAACAATGTCTTCTACTATAGAATTCAACGTGGGAAATATATAAAATGCTTGTGGTTTTATCATTTTGTTATTATTGTCAGTTTTATGGTTTTATTATAGAGTAGGTCAATTTACTCCGTCCAAAACTATAAAAGTAAAAAACTTTGAACTACATAAGATAACGTGGCCAATTAGCCTTTCACTTTTGAGGCAACTTCTAGGGCTTTGTGCATCTTGTCGACCTATTGTCTATAGAGAGGAAGGAATCCAAAGGTGTTGTATCTTCTTGTTAATGTATTTTTTTGTCTTTTTACATAACGCCAAACCAAAAGAACTATTTTTTGTTTCTCTTTCTTAATTCACCTTCAAAAAAGGTCTTTTTGATGGCCAAAAAATCACAAATAGGGAATCATATTATAAACTTGGAGGCTGTTGAACAATATTGACAATACCGTTCTTAAAAAAAAAAAAAAATTTAATAATCAGAGGGAAAATAAATCATGATCTCAGAATGTTACCCCTCATATGAGAAGGCAAAATTCTGACAAGCTCCCATTAATGGCATAAAAGAATGCAATAACCAAAGTGCAGTATAAAAAGCAAAATCTCTTTCTGGGGTAGCTGTAATGCTCTATGCATATTATTAAGTGGGTACCTTTTCCTTGGCAAAAAGTCACTACGAAAATGAATCCAATCAAGTTCGTACCTACTACCATCAAACAATACTATTTTGGGTCTCTCTCTCTCTCTCTCTTTACAATGTAAAGCATCATTATCACAATCGATGATATTTACCTCAAAATCCCCTTTTGTCATGGAGAGTTCATCAGTAGGATCATACTATGAGAACTACGACAGGACCTCATACAGGTTGTGTACATTTTTTACTGTTTGATTCGATTAAAATCATATTAAAATAAAAAAATATGCACAATAAATAATTTTTAATATAAATATGATAATTAAAAAGTAAAAATTTATCCGTAGTATATTTTCTCAATACAAAATTCTAAACGGTTAGATAGCACGAAAATCATGTTAAATTAAGAAGAATAGATAAAAAATTTAATGGATTTTTTAGTGGTAGGGTGCAAAAACTACAGATTTTCCTTTCTTATGAGCCCTTTTTTTTTTTTTTGACATTTCAAGAAGGGGCACTCAAGTAAACATCTTATTACCGTGTTACTCAAGTAATTAATTAATACAGGAAGTTGCTTTCATTATAAGTATGTGAAATTGTGTATTAAATACAATGGCTATCCATGGAAAATGGGCCCCAAATCTACCCAAACTTTTATCAGGTAGATATCCATGCAATAACTACAAATAAGATTTGTATATATGAGATCCTATCAGATATTTTGTTGACATGGAATTAGTTGTTTTCTTTTTGGCCGTCTCTGAAAATTGCATTTAGGTTATGATAAAGAGGATAACACTAATAATAAGAATCATCAAACAGTTACTTGTAAACAAAGGATCAATACGTACTGTAAGCTAATTAACAACAAGCCTTATGGGGGTAATGTTCAAATTAAGTATAGATTAGATCAAAATAAAAAAAATGCCAAGTTGGAGATATTTTTTTTCCTATATAATATAAGTATTAGATCGCAAAATTATAAGAATTCTAGAAAAAAAAAAGTGTTTTTGATTAGTTTTAATTTTGGGTTTAACAGCCAAACATGCATTAAACAAAGGATGCTAAGGAGAGTAGTGATAGAAGAGAAGAATAGAACCAGCCTTAAAAAACTCTTCCCTTTAAAATAAAAAATAAATAACGCCTTAAATATTCTCGAAACTCCTTTTTTGCATGCTTGTTTTAAGAGTTGACTAATTATAAATTATGTTCTTTATGACAATAGACAAAAATTTCTATTTTAATTGCTAGACTAGAGCAGAATTAAGTGAACCAGTTGTAGACAACTTAATATTCTGCTATTAATATGCAGATTTTCTCGGGAACGTTTTTTTTGGGTACGGTTTCTAACTCATAAAATGTAGAAATATATTATGATTAAAAAAATAAAGAAATAAATGTACTATGGTTATCTTCATATAGCTTAAAAAAAATAAAGAAGAAAAGAACTCATCATCTATCATAATTGATCCACGAGGACATTATAATAAACAAGCTTTCGTCAGAAATCCGAGCTTTAAGCTTCAGAATATACAAGAAAAAAAGGTTCTCAAAATTTATAAACCTAAAATATATATATTTTTAAGAGATGACATAAGATCTGAGGAATTGTCTCCAATTCGGTACCAATTAGAGCAGTATATGTATATTTTAAAAAAATATATATATATTTCTTTTTAAAACATGTATATTTCTTCTTAAAATATGTATAATATGAATAAATATTTATAATTTATCTAAACACCTACATATATATTTTTTTTAAAATATACATTTTAAAAAAATATATATATATAAGTGTTGCTCCAATCCGACTTTACTCAATTTGAATTTGATAAAATCGGAATAAAATATGCCCCTAAAGCGCCCCGCAATAGTGGTGATCTGTAATAAAATATGTCCATAATAACTGCATGCCACGTAAAACAAAGGATTAAGTAACTTATTATTAAAATTATAAAACAAAATAACTTTGTTTATTTCAATTTCCAATAAGAATTGATCACAACCATTATACAAGGTACAATTAAACAACTTTTTGGAGCGTGGTTACTTACAAGGCAATCAATTCTAATTAAGTATCTCAGCATTAAGCTGAAAATAGGAATTAAAAAGTATTTTCAGTTAAACACAATGAGTGAACATCTGCTGGATTAATGGGCACTCTTAAGCGAAAAAGGAATAAATAATGACAAATATTAAGATAAATCTAAGGTCTCGTTAAGTTCGTCGATTTAAATTGAGATGTGATTTTATGTGAGAGTTTTTAATTGTACTAAAAAATTAAATGTGACAAACTGAAATTAAAAACTCAAATCCGTGAAATGAATGAGTCCTAAATGGATAATCAATTAGAACGGAGTTAATCCGGTAGAATATATCTATTAGTAGAGTCTATTTTTTATTATTTGACATGATTAAAATCACATCAAATTAAAAAAATATACAAAGAGTTTTTGGTATAAATCTAACGATAAATGGTTAAAAAATATGAAGGTAAATCTAAAGCCTCATTAAGTTCGTCGATTTGAATTTTTAATTTAAGTTGAGATGTGATTTTATGTGAGAATTTTTAACTGTAGTAAAAAAATTAGATGTGACAAACTGAAATTAAAAACTCAAATCGGTGAAATGAATGAGGCCTAAATGGATAGTCAATTAGAACAAAGTTAATTCAGTAGAATATATCTATTGGTAGAGTTTATTTTTTATTATTTGACATGATTAAAATCACATCAAATTAAAAAATATACAGAGAGTGTTTGGTATAAATCTAACGATAAATGGTTAAAAATACAGATTATTAGTAATTTTATTTTTGTCATATCACATAAATTCCCTAATTAGAAATCCTTTGTATATTTTTACAATTTTGATAATAATAAGAATAGTTTGGACTTTAGACTTGTGCAGTTGGACAGAAATTAGCTTTTGTGCAAAGCCAGCCAGCCGATGATGGTTTGACTTTCAGGCTTGACTATTGGAGGAAAGTGGCTCCAGTGGGACCCACCACGACAAATATTATAAAAAAAACACAACCTGATTTTTATTATTTATCAATAAAATAATAACGAGTTATTGAAAAACTGAAAACAAGAACAAAAATGAAAAAGAAAAGGCTATAGGCAACAACGGAGAGGAATCGTTTACTTACATTTGGTTATGAAAAGTCAATGTCCTTTGTCACTGTTAAGGAAGGGTTTGTGGGAGAGATTTTAGAGAGAGAAAGAGAGGGAAGTGAGAGAGAGAGAGTTATCTGAAACGAAAACTGGCATGTTGTTTTGGATTTACCATTTCTTAAAAGTAGATGAGCATTTGATGTGGTTGGTTTGCTCGCTTTTAATTGCGCTTCACTGAGAGACTCCTGATAGACTTTTTTCTTGAGAGAGAGAGAATCATAAGGAAAAAAAAAAAAAAAAACAGGTCTTTGAAGCTCTGTTCTTGTTCAGGTGTTTTCTTCGAGTCTTTAATTCTTCAAAAGAAGTAAAGGGTTTGTTTTTCTTCTCTGTTTCGCATCTGGGCAAGTCTTATTTTTAGCTCAAATATATTTTTGGGCTCTGAACTGAAGTGGGTTTCTGTGAATTTTGGGGATCTGGTGGGTTCTAGGGTTTGATTATCTTTCATCTTCTTTCCCTCTCTTGTTCTTCCATGGAAGTTGGGTTTTAACCTCAGGAAATCTGTTTCGCAAATTGGGTTCTCTTCATAACTGATAATTTACTTTTTTTTATTCACTTCCAATTGAAACCTTCTACTGGGTATTCTCTGATCTGTATGTATCAAGTTTCTTCTTTTGTGTTTTATCTCAGTCTCTTTCTGGTTTTTTCTTTGATGGGCTAAAGAAAAACAAATACTTTTTCTTCTGAGCGAATTTATTTATCAATTTTTGGTATAAGATTTAAGTTGTTTTCAAACGCTAGCTTTGATGCATCTTTCACTATGGAAGCCCATATCTCACTGCGCTGCTCTTCTGATGGACAAAAAGAGCAGCAGCAGAAGAGGCAAAGACGGCTCGGATTCCGCCACAGAGACGACGAAGAAAAACCAGTCAATTCTCCGAAAACTCCAAGAGAACAAGCTGAGGGAAGCTCTAGAGGAAGCATCCGAAGATGGGTCTCTCTCCAAATCCCAAGACATCGAGTCTTCTGAGACCTCCATGGCCAACCAGGACGAGGCCCTTGGACGGTCACGATCCCTCGCCAGGCTCAACGCCCAGAAGGAGTTCCTCCGCGCCACCGCCCTCGCCGCCGACCGCACTTTCGGCCCCGAAGACGCCCTCCCTGTCCTCCATGAATCCTTCTCCAAGTTCCTCACTATGTACCCAAAGTACCAGTCCTCTGAAAAGATTGATCAGCTGAGGATGAATGAGTATTCTCACTTGTCTCCAAGGGTATGCCTTGATTATTGTGGATTTGGGCTTTTTTCGCATCTTCAGACACTTCACTATTGGGAGTCATCCACTTTTAGTTTGTCTGAGATAACTGCTAATTTGAGTAATCATGTACTTTATGGTGGTGCTGATAAGGGCACTGTGGAACATGATATAAAGACTAGGATTATGGATTATTTGAACATACCGGAGAATGAGTATGGCCTTGTTTTTACTGTGAGTAGAGGGTCTGCTTTCAAGTTGTTGGCTGAGTCATACCCTTTTCACACAAACAAAAAACTCTTGACCATGTTTGATTATGAGAGCCAGTCCGTGAATTGGATGGCCCAGAGTGCTAGAGAGAAGGGTGCTAAGGTGTATAGTGCTTGGTTCAAGTGGCCAACTCTGAAACTCTGCTCCACCGATTTGCGGAAGCAGATTTCAAACAAGAAGAGGAGGAAGAAGGATTCCGCTGCTGGGCTTTTTGTGTTTCCGGTTCAGTCGAGAGTTACGGGGTCTAAGTACTCCTACCAATGGATGGCATTGGCGCAGCAGAACAATTGGCATGTCTTGCTTGATGCGGGCTCGTTGGGGCCTAAGGACATGGATTCTCTCGGGTTGTCGCTTTTCAGGCCGGATTTCATCATCACGTCGTTTTACAGAGTTTTTGGATACGACCCGACTGGATTTGGATGCCTTCTGATCAAGAAATCGGTGATGGGAAGCCTTCAAAATCAGTCCGGGTGTACTGGCTCTGGAATGGTGAAGATTACCCCTGAGTTTCCTATGTATCTGAGTGATTCTGTAGATGGTTTGGACAAATTGGTTGGAATCGAAGACGAAGATGTAGCTGTAAATGGCGAGAAGGCCTCTGAAGCTCGCCCGGGGTCACAGTTGCCTGCCTTTTCTGGCGCTTTCACTTCTGCTCAGGTGAGGGATGTGTTTGAGACTGAGATGGATCAAGATAACAGTTCTGAGCGAGATGGAACAAGCACCATTTTTGAAGAAGCCGAGAGTATTTCAGTTGGCGAGGTAATGAAAAGCCCGGTTTTCAGTGAAGATGAGTCGTCAGACAATTCATTTTGGATTGATTTGGGGCAGAGCCCACTAGGGTCTGATTATGCAGGCCAGACGAACAAACAGAAGATTGCTTCTCCCTTGCCACCATATTGGTTTACTGGGAGGAAAAATAATAAACGAATTTCTCCTAAACCTACAACCAAGTTATATGGCAGCCCACTATATGATGAAAAAAATGGGCCACATGAACTGGGGCATGTGATATCGTTTGATGCTGCTGTCTTGTCAGTTTCGCAGGAACTGGACCGCGTTAAAGAAGTACCAGAAGAAGAGCAATTTGGAGAAACGAGTCCCCCTCTACAAAATGGTAAAAATTCTTTGAATCATCTGCATAGCGGAGAGATCCAAGAAGAACCTGGAGTAAGTGGACCACTCCCTACTGGGTATGCGTTGAATTTTGGTGCGAATGGTTCTCGCCTCAACGATTTCACTTCCACATCTCGGCATCACGGTCTGGAGAATGGCACAACCTCTGAGATTTGCTCGGATGTGAAGGAGAGTGCCATAAGAAGAGAAACGGAAGGTGAGTTCAGGTTGTTAGGGAGAAGGGAAGGGAGTAGATATGCTGGTGGTAGATTTTTCGGTTTGGAAGATAATGAACTTCCGAGCAGGGGAAGAAGGGTGTCATTTAGCACGGAAGAACACCGTAAAGAGCGAGTAAGCCATAATGTGGAGACCGGAGAAGTATCTGTTACGAGCTTGGAGGATGACGACTACAGCAGTGATGGAGAATACGGTAATGGGCAAGACTGGGATAGGAGGGAACCGGAGATAATATGCCGCCATCTCGATCACATTAACCTGTTGGGTCTCAATAAAACCACTCTGAGACTACGGTTCTTGATCAATTGGCTGGTGACCTCATTGCTGCAACTGAAACTACCTGGTGCAGAAGCCTATCTTGTCTACATCTATGGGCCGAAAATCAAATACGAAAGAGGAGCGGCTGTGGCTTTCAATCTCAGAGACAGAAATGGAGGGCTAATCAACCCAGAAGCAGTTCAGAAGCTGGCTGAGAAAGAAGGCATCTCTTTAGGCATTGGTTTCCTTAGTCACATACGAATTGTAGATAATCCGAAGCAGCAACAAGGAGCTTTGAGTCTTCAGGACAGTACACTGTTCAGGCCGATGGAAAACGGCAGGAACGACAGAAAAAGTGGGTTCATAAGGATCGAGGTTGTCACGGCTTCTTTGGGTTTTCTTACCAACTTTGAGGATGTTTATAGATTGTGGGCGTTTGTGGCTAAGTTTCTTAATCCAGTCTTTATCAGAGAGGGTGAACTGCCAACGGTTGATGAAGAATCTGAGACATAAAACCCGGAAACGGCTAATTTATGTTTCTCTTTGAAGAAAGATTCTGCTGGAGTCGGAAATATTATTTGGAGGGTATCTCAGGGCCAAGGCAGAAAGTGACGAAGGAACGGGGGTGTGAACATCCGCATGGCTGTTTCTCTTGCTCATGCTTCACATTCTTCTTTGCTGCGGATGATTTGTTAATTCATGTTATTGCTTGGATTTTTTTCCCCACTTTTTTCCCTTTTGGATCTTTGTAGAGTTGGCATTAGAAATTTGTATCATCTTGGGAAATCATGATAAACTAAAGAGCAGAATGACATTCACATCACTTCCACTACTTGAAAATGCTTCCTTTGCTCCATACAAAATTGAATTCGTTTTTTCCTCCCAATGCCAAGTTTATGTCCATGCGCATGCATGTATATATGAACCTCCTACAATCAAAACAAAAGTAATCTCTTTTTAACAAACATGGAAGTTGGGATTTCTGGTAAAATATATAATTAAAATAAAATCGAGGAATATGAAGGATATACAAGCCATTTAGTTGTCTCTAGATTCTCAGGATAGCAGAAAGCCGATTTACTTTTTTAGCCATTTTTGAATCCATCATGGCCTTTGATTAATGACTATAGTACAATACAGAATCATTCTGATACATTATTGAACAATATTTTTGCTTGGATAAAGTATCATACAAGTCATGATACCCAAAAGATTGATCACATGTAAAAAATACAAGTAAAAATAAAAATAAAAATAGGTCCAAGGTGTTCTCACCACAACAACATTTTTTCATTAAAAGTACAATTCCTGGCGAAGTTTCCTTCTAAAGAAGGGTCTATTATTCCCACAAGGAATCAAATGACTGTTGGACTATAACTTGGTACAACACAAAGCACCAAAGAATAGTCCTCTGATGTTAACATAGAAAATAGATGCATTGCATAATGCGAAGCGCATCACCAAATTGGTTAAGAAAAAAAAAAAAGTAGGAATCAAATAGAGGTTATTTGAAAAGAATTGAAAATTCATTTCCTCAAGTAATTATCATAACTGGGCCACACCCATTAAGCTTTGTTTCCCGTGGGAATTATAGTAGATGGTATGTATCATGATCATATCCTGCTACAACACTTTGGATTTTATGGCATCTTTTTCTTGTAGGAATGCTTGAGAGGTTATTTTCTTTGAAGTTGGTAGGGTAGACATGGCACCCTTGTGATTCTTTTCACAAATTGAAAATGATGTTTAAAACTTGCTTTTGGTCGCAATATTAAAAGAACAGTGTATAAAAAGCCTCAACATCACAAAGGAAATATTTATTAGCAAAATGATTACAATTTTAAAGATGAAGAAGAAGAAGAAGAAGAAGAAAGCATAAAGAAACAAATAGTCCACTGTTTGACAAAAATTGTTTAGGGAAGGTTAATGGGAGAAGCTGACTTCTGTAAGAGTAACCTTTATGTGGTGGTTGGTGACAGTGATTCGTTGACAAGCTTGAGCCCTATGAAGTATTGTTGGCTACTAAACAAATGGATTTTGAAGATTTTGCTTATCTTAGTCGTCAGTAGCTATCAAGAACACGCTACAAATGGTTAAAAAATACTACACACAATATATGCTTCTCTTAATTAATAAACCATTATCAGAAGAGAACGGGATAAGGTTTAAGAACATATTCAAGACCAAAATTGTTCATTTTCTGACGTATTTCATTTAACTAAGTGGGTATGTTGACTGTTGACATGTATCGATATCTCTTTGGCGTCTCAACAAGAAAAACCAACCCACAACCAATTACTTGAATTGGCTTTTGAGCATGCACCAACTATTGAAAGTTGGCCTTGTCTTCATCCATTTGACTGTTTTTAGCACAAGAAAAGAAATCACCAAATCAAAGTTCTCCACATAACGCGTAACATTAAGCGAAGAGGACTAAATTATGGAATAGAAAAATACATACTTATCTCAGATCCCAAAGATATATCTCCTTCTCATGGTTAGCTTCTCTGACTAGGTGAGATAAACTAGTACTGAGATCAATTGGGTTGTACAATGGCATCTAAGATTCCATCACCTTCATAAGAAACGCAGCTTCTAATGCTGATTCTTTGCACTGGAGGTACCGGTTTTCCTCCACTATGTCTGTGGTCAAATTGAGCAAAACTGGACGTTTTGGGTCATAAATTGTGTGTTCGCGGACCCGCGCAACCCATTTTGCAGCTTCCCATATGCCAAATCTGGAATTTATGTAAAAATGAAAAGTTCATGAAACACCGTCTTGTTCTTTCTGGGCTCGTGAAAGAGCTCTCTACACGTCATTCAATGCAGACATCATTTTTTTGAACTCCAAACACAGATGAGAATATAGCAGTTTATGTAAATATGGCATTTACCAAAGTAGTCAATACCTCAGGACAACTAGTAAATCTCAAAGAGATCAGACAAAAACTCACTTTTTGGGAGAACTTGATTACACTACTTAATAAATCCGTAACTATTTTAAGATTATCCAAATGACATTTTTAGTGCTATTAATTACTGCACCTCGTCATTTTTTAGCTGTAGACATAAGAAAGAAAGTTGAGAAAAGAACGAAGAGAAATTACCTTGTATTGAAAGATGATGATATCAAGAGAGCTGGATAAGGAACATCCTTCTGAATGTTGTCATAAGGAGAATATTCACGTATAGCATGGAAATCATTAATGTCCCACGGGTATCCGAATTCTTCATAATCAGCAGCAGTAACTGGTAAAACCGGATAAAGAAGAGTATTTGTTGCATCTAGAAATGGAACCTGAAACAAACACATTGGATAAATTGATTGGGAAAAACCACAGTTAATCTCAGGAATATACATAGACGGAAAAACTCGCCTTCAAAACTGCAGCACGGAATAAATCAGGGCAACTATTAATGGCTGAAGCAACCAAAAGTCCACCAGCACTGTAACCCCAACCAGCAAGCTTGTTTTGATGGACAATCTCTCTCTCAATAAGGTATTTTGCACAGGAGATGTAATCTTTGATGGAATTAATCTTCTTTGTACGTCTACCATCATAATGCCATTTCTTACCCCCGCCCCCTCCACCTCTGGAAAGAAATTATCAATAGCATCGTGACTAAGCATAGGCCCCAGAAGCATTAGTACTAAAAAAAATATAAATATGAGGAAGCAAGTTGCATAAAGTTATAGCAGACAAACTACTGCATATTGACGAGGGAAATGACTATACCATACCCACTAAAAGGTAGCTTACTTTACAGCACAATCAATGTAAGTAATAATCTTTAACAAGGTTTATAAATAATAAGATTGTACAAGTACGCTCAATCCATAAAATAACGTCAAATAACAACATATATTTAAAGCACCTAACATCAGCATATGCAACAATCCAACCGCGATCAAGAAGGCTTTTCAGTTCACTGCGCCACCGTTTATCGAGTAGCTCACCGTAGGCTCCATGACCATGAAGCAGCCCAGGGTATTGACCTTCTTTCTCATTTTTGCGGGAGTAAATAATAGTCAACGGAACCTCAACTCCATCATAAGATGAGACATTACGGTGCTCACACGCATAAAACTCAGAGAGATCATTCCACAAATTAGCATCATCTGATCTGACTTCATCTGTGGTATCAACAGTTTTGCTATTCAAGGTATGTTTGGAGATACTGGACAAAGAAGATGTACCATACAAAACTTTTGTTCTCTCGTGAAGAATATTCTGCTGTTGAACAATGTTCCATTTCCCATTGGATAGGTCATAATCAACTATGGCATCAGGCATCTGCCGGAAAATACAGACTTCAAGAATCAAAATGATTACACATCAATTAAGTCTTAGCTTCATATTGATATAGAAGAATAACAAATCAACCTTCTAAATAAATAGACCATTTTACACACATACCACAGGGGATGATATCGTAAAGCGCATAGTTGATGAGAAGTAATCATAAATCATTCCAGGTGAAATTTGAGAAACATATTTTGGAAGAGGCAGGTAATGTGGGTGAAGCTCTTTGAGAGAAACCGGTCCCTGCATTAGCAAGAGAGGAAAAGGTGAGAATGTTAAACAATCCTATTGAAATGTTTTTCCCATTAATGATCCATTCAAATATAAAACATTTGGTTTCAGCAACTTACCCTCCCAGCAGGCAAAGGTAGAGTAACTGAACCAAGTCTAAATTGTCGACCTTCCCTTAGAATAAGTAGCAAGTGTGTATTGCAGAAGTCAACATCCTCAACAACCAAATGAGGGTCATCGATGAATACATTCTGCATCAAACAAGACGGTCAACATTAAAAGAAAGTAATATATCAGAGTGATCAATTAAAACAAGAATATAACAACTGTTTGGAACAAGAAATATCAACTGAATGCTAACAGTCGTTAGAAATTGCAAATAAAACACGGATGTAAGAACTGTACAGAAAGGATAGCCTATAGGAACAAGAGAACTGCACTGTGTTGCAAAAGCAAAAATTCTAACTTGAGATATAAATACACTCATCCAGCAGCAAAAACCCCAAAATGAAGATAATCACAACTAGAGATATAATGATTTCATCATCATGATTATAAAGAGCATGAAATAGGTGTAACCAACTCACCGACCTCCCATATTCTTGGACCGGTAGAAGTATCGACAGGGCTACGAAGAAGATAATGAAAATCAACGGGTTGGCCTGCTTTGGCAGCATCAGTAAATAGATAAAGGAACCCTTGATGATGCTCAACTATGCAGTGGGCTACACCATCACACTCCCAAATCAAATTCAAGCCAGACAAGGGGTCAGCTGCATTTATCAGAAAGACCTAAAAGATGGTCATTGATCATTTCATCATCTTAACCAAAAGATCTTCACTTGACTAAAAAAAAGTTTACATTACAAATTGATGATACCTTTGAAGAAGTAGGAGAGAATGTATTCACGGTCACAAAGCGGAAATCTTTCGTGTGTCTAATGTTAACATAGACATTCTCATCCAATTCTTCGAGAAGCAAAACATCATCATCGGTCGATCCAATCATGCTGTAGTATATCCTATGAAATAATAAGAAAGACAAAAAAGAAAGCCCGGAAAATATATCCTTAAATCCAATATAGAACCAATACTAACACATGAGAATACATCACAAAAACCTATGAATTACCACCTGTACGGCCTCTTCTTCTGATCAGTGACAACATAAAGTAATGCTTGGCCATCTTTGGCCCATGCCAAGTTCGAAATGCAATCGGCTTGGGGCTTTCCACACAATGCACCAGAATTCAAATTCCTTACAGATAATCTAAAAAAGTCATTGTCTTTATCATACATTGTGTACGCAAGGAACCGATGATCCGGAGAAACTTCTGATAACTCTTCATAAGCATAGCCTAAATAATAATTGGAAATGCAAATTTTCTCGCTTTATTTCCCATACTTTTTATTTTCTCTCAAACCAAACACAATGCGAGAGAGTTAAGGCAAAATAGAAAAGGAAAATACCTCCAAATCTCTCAGCTTCTTGATTATAGTCAATCAGCTTCTGTTCAATTCTCTTCCCCGAGGCGAAATCAAACCCCGCCGAAGGCGATTTATGTGAAATAAACTCCTCGTTCAAGCTCGCGAGCCTCCGGCAGAGCACCGGATATTGCTTCCCTTCCTCCGCGCGGCGGTAATACAACCTGTGAAAAAGACCAAAACTTTCGTCAAATTTTCATTTTTTTTCATCCGGATTTTCTCAAGAACCAACAGGAGGAATTCGGCGGCGGTTCCGACCAAGGTCCCCAGCGGAGAGGAGGAGTGGAGAGGTCGTAGGCGAGGCGAAAGGCCATTTCCGACTGGAGCTTGCTCTGTAGGCGCTCGGTATCAGCCATGACGGCCTCGGCGTACTTCTCCTCCTGCTCCATGTAGATGTCCATGTGCCGCATGGCGACCTTGTCGTTCAAGCTCGACATCCAGCTGTACGGATCCTCCCATGTCTGGTCGTGGAAGCTGAAGCTCTGGGGCTTCTGCGGCGGTTTCGGCGGCTTCGGCGGCGTCGGAGGCGACGGCGGTTTCGCTGCCTTTTGTGGGGCCTTGTAATGCGCTCGGCGCACGAGAAACGGCGGCGCCGGAGGGTTTCCGGTGCAGCGGTGAAGGAGGAGAGTTAGAACTTGGCGCATTAGAGGGAGGGAGGAAAGTTGGGGGTTTTTGGTCTTTTTCTTTTCAATATTCGTTTTCTGGTTGAATTTCGTAGGGTTTTAGGGTCAAAAGTCAAAACTGAAAAATGTGGTCCAGCCAAAGGAAAGAAAGGAAGAATGGAAAAAATGGGGAGACTCTCAAGTAGGTGTTGTTCCCTAAAAAAAAAAAAAAAAAAAAAAAAAAAAAAAAAAAAAAAAAAACTCAGAAACAACATGGTGTTGTTTAGGAGGTGGAATAAACGATTGTCGTATAATGTTTTTTTGTTGTCGTTAAGATGGAATGGCAATGAGTAGTGTTAAAAAAATTAAGAGTTTTTTCGGTAGTTCGTTTTATCGGTAGTTTTAGTTTTTGACTGTTGGACTTAGTAAAAATCATATTTGATTAAAAAAGTATACATAATATACAAATTCTGATATAGATTTAACAGCTAAAAAGTAAGAAACTATCAATAGTTTATTTTTACAAGGATTACCAGAAAAGTCCTTAAAAAACTTTGAACTAATCCCATGGAACACCTTCAACGTCACACACTAATAAAAGGTAGGGCTTTATAAGTCTTATAAGAAAAATACTTAAAATGACTAATGAGATTGAGCATTATAATTAAAAATGCGGATCCCACCTGAGACCGAGAAGCAAGAGGGAATACAGCCTTTAGTGATGTCTCACCATTCGGTAATCCTGTTTTCAACAATTCCGTTCCTTTCTCAAAGGAACAACTCGATATGCTCCAACAACTCATACAAAGAGAAAATTTCAACAATACATCCGAGAACAAGAATAACACCAACACCTCAGCTATGCATGCCTCAACATCTCCTCATTCCGCTTGGGTAGTGGACTCGGGTGCTTCTGAGCACATGACAGGTGACAGAACACTTTTCTCAATGTTTTCACTATGTACCAACCATCAAACAGTGCGTATAGCCAATGGTACACGCACCAATGTGGTCGGAACAGGAACCATCCATCTATCAAACACTCTCATCCTCAAATCCGTGTTATTTGTGCATGATCTTGACTGTAATCTTATCTCGGTTAGCAGATTGAATCATGATCTCAACTGTGAAACTAAATTTCTTGCCGATTCTTGTGTTTTTCAGGACTTGAGCACGGGGAAGGTGATTGGCAGTGATGATTTCCATATAGGCCTCTACATTTTGGATGTCCATCCTTCTTCAAGTCATTTTGCTGGTCATCAATGTCAGTTGAGTCATAGTCTTAAGTCTAGTAGTCATTCCAATAAGGAAAGTGACATCATGATGTGGCACTTTCGTCTAGGTCATCCCAATTTTCTGTATTTGAAACATTTGTTTCCATCTCTATTTATCAATAAAAATCCTAATTCCTTTCATTGTGAAGTATGTCAATTGGCAAAACACACAAGAAACACTTATGCACCTCGGCAATATCAACCCAGCCATCCCTTTACCCTCATTCATGGGGATATCTGGGGACCATTTCGTATCCCTAGTCTTACCGGTGCAAGATGGTTTTTACTATTGGTTGATGATCACACTAGATTGTGTTGGACATTCCTAATGAAAGAAAAATCAGAAACCAAACACATATTTCAGAACTTTCATGTCATGATACAAACCCAATTCAAAGTCAATATCCAAATCCTCAAAACAGATAATGCCAAAGATTTCTTCAACTCATGTCTCGGTTCTTATTTCACCTCTCATGGTATTGTTCAACTAAGCTCTTGTGTTGACGCACCACAACAAAACGGTGTTGCCGAAAGAAAAAACCGCCATATTCTTGAAGTGGCCCGGTCCTTACTTTTCCAAGCCCGTGCCCCAAAAAGATTTTGGGGTGAAGCAATCCTCACTGCCACATACTTGATTAACCGTCTACCCTCTAGGATACTCAAACTTCGTACACCTTTGCAAACATTACAAAGTCTATTTCCTACCTCACGGCTTGTGTCAGAAATTCCATTTAAACTTTTTGGTTGCACCGCCTTTATCCATATCCATTCTCAATACCGGGGAAAATTTGATGCCCGTACACATAAATGCATCTTTCTTGGTTATTCAGCCAACAAAAAGGGGTATAAGTGTTACTCTCCCATCACTCATAAATTTTATAATACTATGGATGTCACATTCAGGGGGAGAATACCACCAGTGAATTACAGCATTAGGAGTGGACATCACTTCTTGAGTCAAATTCATCAATTCCTCCAAGTTCATCATCTCCGGTGTTCCCTACACTGTCACCTATCCTGAGTCAACCTCAGAAATCACGTGATCAGCCCTCCTCGCCTCATTCCGAGCATGGTCAATCTTCTCCTTATGTTTATCCCAAACATCTCCTTCTTCCCGATGATGCGGTGAAAGTCTATGAAAGAAGGAAAAATCTTGAGGCCGCACTACCTCAGCACTGTCAAGAGACCTCCCTAAGCCAAGCCGAACTCGAGAGGCAGCAAGGTATAGCAGAATCTAGTCCACAGGTTGATCCTACGATGAATCAGCCCATTGCACATAGAAAAGGTGTCAGATCATGCACCCAACATCCCCTGTGCAGCTACATCTCCTACTCAAGTTTATCTCCAAAGTTCCAGGCGTTTGTGACCTCCTTAGACAAAATCAAGATTCCAAATTCAGTCTATGAAGCCCTAAAGGTCTCAGAATGGCACAAGACAATTCTTGAAGAATACACTGCGTTGGAAAAGAATGGCACATGGTTGATATCAGAGCTGCCACCAGGGAAGAAAATAGTGGGCTGCAAGTGGATATTCTCGGTCAAGCAAAAGGCAGATGGAAGTATAGACAGGTACAAAGCTCGTTTAGTGACCAAATGGTACACTCAATCATATGGGATTGATTATCAGGAGACCTTTGCTCCAGTAGCAAAGCTCAATACAGTCCGTGTCCTGTTAACCATTGCCGTCAACTTGAATTGGCCATTGTTTCAGCTAGATGTTAAGAATGCTTTCTTGAATGGAGATTTGATCGAGGAAGTCTATATGGATATACCATCCGGATTTGAGATAAAAAGCACACAAGGAAAGGTTTGCAAACTGAGGAAAGCATTGTATGGACTAAAACAGTCACCGAGAGTATGGTTCGAGAGATTCACCAAGGTTCTCAAGAAAGACGGATACACTCAGACACAAGCAGACCACACCCTATTTGTGAAACACTTCACAGATGGAAGACTCGCAGTTTTAATTGTATATGTTGATGATATTGTCCTCACAGGGAATCATGAAGGAGAGATTAGAAGACTCAAGTCTCTCTTATCAAAGGAATTCGAGATTAAAGACTTGGGACAATTGAAGTATTTCTTGGGGATGGAGGTGGCACGGAGCAACAAAGGAATCTCAGTTTCTCAACGCAAGTATGTTCTAGACCTCTTGCGGGAAACCGGAATTAGTGGGTGCAAGCCGGTTGAGACACCTATGGACCCCAATACTAAGTTAATGCCTCGAACTGATGAATTGGCGGCTAACAAAGGGCAGTACCAGCGACTAGTGGGTAAGCTAATCTATCTAACTCACACCAGGCCAGATATAAACTTTGCAGTCAGTCTTGTGAGTCAATTTCTGGATAACCCCTCCATTGATCACATGGAAGCAGTGAACCGTATATTGAGGTATCTGAAGAAGGATCCTGGGAAGGGTCTTATGTTCAAGAAGACAGTCAACCGAACTCTAGAGGTCTATACAGACGCTGACTAGGCAGGATCTCCTAGTGACCGGAGATCTATGTCCGGATATTGTTCGTTCATTTGGGGAAATTTAGTGACTTGGCGTTGTAAAAAGCAAACAGTGGTTTTCCGAAGTAGTGCAGAAGCTGAGTTCCAGGCACTAGCTTTGGGTATCTGTGAAGGAATATGGCTAAAAAGGGTACTAAACGACCTGAAGATTGAAGCGGCAGACTCTATCAAAATCCTATGTGAATCAATCAGCAATTGCAATTGCCAAAAATCATGTTCATTACAATCGAACTAAACATGTGGAGATTGATAGACACTTTATTAGTGAGAAGATTAAAAATAAGCTAATCACTCTCAGCTATGTTCCATCAAGGCAGCAAGCAGCGGACATCCTAACCAAGGCTCTATTCTGACCTAACCTCACTGAGCTGAGCTCAGTCCTTGGTTTAGAGAACATCTACCGCCTAGTTTGAGGGGGAGTGTAGAAAATCAACCTAGGCTAAATCGAATCCCTAACTTCTAGGGAAGTAGTTTCCTGATTTTATTCCCTAAGATATACCGGAATATTTGTATTTATTGAGGAAGATATTGTAGATCCTGATTTGTAGGGATTCTAGGTCTGATACCGTGCATATATATAGGTGTAACCTTTCATCGTAAATAATAGAAGTTATCTATTCTCATATCTCAGAAAACTTCAGAAAGCGACACGGTGCTGGTGTTCAAGGAATTTGTTGCTGGTTATGACGATGATTTGAGAGGCCCACTGTATTCCTAGTAGCTGCAATTATCTGTTCAACGTTGCAAAGTGGTGTATCCTTCTATTCCCCTTTGCTACTTTCTTATTTCTTTTTTCTAGCGATGATATACCTCAGGAGTTAATTAGGCTCGTGTTTTTTTCCCCTTGGGTGTGTTTTGATTTGTTGTTATTAGGCTTTAATTCTGATACTGTTTAGTGACCTTTATGCCTTTTGAATGAGATTGTTTTTAAAGAAAAAAGTCCACTATATTTCTAAAGAAAACTAAACAAATATATTTTTCTATGAATTTGATACAAAAATCTGCAATAAATTTAGAAGCAGAACACACACATCTCTCAACTAGTAACTATGTTGGAATATTAGAATCCATAGCGTGTTTATTGTAGCTGCTCTCACATTCTTACTGTTCGAAGTTTGTTTATCTATTTTGTCTGTGCTCTATTTTTTTCCCTTTTTTCTCCCCGAAGCGTCAATGTTCTTTTTTTTTTTTTTTTGCATTTTCTTCTGCTTTTCTCTCTCTTCTTTTTTTGTTATTCTCTCTCTCGTCTTTTCTTTCTTCTTCTATGTTTGCTTCTTGCTCTTCCACCCCTCTCTATACTTTGATGAAAAAGGAACCTGTTAATTATGGCTTCTAAGAGGAGGCTGTCTAGAAATTGTTATGTGAAGGTAAGATCTTTGCCGAAATAGGGAAAAAAAAAACACTATCTCTTTCCTGAGTTTTTAATCAGATGTGTTTTTCCCTTTTATGCAGGTTGCTTCTCCTCCTTCAATTGGGTACACGTCATTTCTTTATTTTCTTTTTTTTCACATGGGGTTTTCCCTTTTTTTTTTT